CGGTGCAATCGGTCTGTAACCTTGAGATAGATATTGCGCCATTGGATTAACCCTGGGACCTCTGTGCCCTAGGATCTTAAGACACACGCTCAGCTTAACGCCCACCACATACAAAACAATAATAAATGATGAAGAAATAGTAAGGTTTAGTTGACATACAGCATGCATATACAATACATACACAATATTGTATGTATTTCTCAATGTATATAGTGAATGAGAACCAACCCCCACAAAGGGTTGACAATTAGTGCAGGAGCCATGGACAGCAGTCAAAAATCCATCAATAATGCAAACGGGTGGAAGACCCCGGACTCTCTGCTCCAGCCCCCTGCATGTGTCTACCTGCTTGTCGATCCCTCAATCAAATTCATCTGTGAGACCCCTGTCTATTCTGAAAATGTGACTGTTTGAATTATGCAGAACACAAAAAGGAGGAGGTTATGTCTCTTAAGTGACTTCAGATTTTCTACCATAAAGCAATTATAACTTGAGCAAAGTCAATATTATCTCTTTCCTTTCGTGGAATATTCTCAGCCAAAGCGTGAAGGCAGAAGAAATGACAGGATTCACAGAGGGAGTGGACAGACTCCAGCTGGGACAAACTCCTGCAATAATAAGCAGCTGTTCCATCATATACACCCGCAGAATGACAATGAGCACAGTGTAAGTGGTGGCATTCAGAGACACTCACATTATGGTCAACAGCAAAAACACAGAAAATGGCGGTAGCTGTGGCTGCAGAGAAAACCTAGACTAGGAGGTATAAAGTCATTCAGATGGAAATACAAGTCTGTGTTGCCTTTTTCATTTCTTTTCTTACAAAGGAATTAGAATAGAATCCCACAACATCCCAAACTTAATAGCATAATTTGTTCCAAGCTTAGCGAGCCAAAAATATACGCTTACAACTGATTCAATAAAATGGAAAAAGAATTGCACACAACCGGAGCCAAGATATTTTTACACACATTTTTATATCATTATTGATTTGGCTGCATAAAAGAGGCCCCTGTAGGAATCATGTGCAGCGCCAAGCAACAAAAATCAAGATGGACGACTATGAAATGTGAGAAGTCGACCCTCTATCAATGACCCCTCTCTTCCGGTTCTATCCCTGGCAATAAGTTAAAAGGGAAAATCCTGGACAGTGTACGGAGAGAGGCTCAACCCTTCGTTCTCCCTATGACTTAAGCAGTATTGACTATCGCAGCCATCTTCATCCAGTCCCCTTTGGCCATCCTGCTGATAACATGTCAGACACAGGTTTTCCATAGACACTGATAGAGAGGAGGCCACCACATAAAAAACACACACACACAATGCACGCCACATATCAGCAGAGCAACTGATTCATTTCCGGCAGCTTATACATACGTTGTAAAGCATGTCAGAACTCCAAAAGCCATGTCTTTGATCTGTATCCATTGTTGGAAGTCTATGTTATCATGTGCAGCTTTAATTGAATTAGTCCATGGTATAACTCACTCTGATGGCTACAGCAGGAGGCCCACAGATTCAACCAGCTGTTTGCCTGTTGAGGGCAGTGACAGTCATGTGTGATACTAGAGAGGACTTTGTATTAGATAAAGCAAGATATTTGAACCGCAGGCAAAACTACACATTTGCTCAAATAAATACTCAAGAATAACACTGAGAACACTACATTGACCTTTAGCTGGAAAGATTCACACAGTGTTCAATCATCCATGATGTATATATCCATTAAAGGTGCAGTAGAGATTTTGTTAGCTTAGCATTAGCACCAACTTGAAACCACTCCCCCCTCCCCTCGCATCTCCACCAAACCAAACATCCAGCATTTTTTTTCTTTGACACAACAGGGAAAGTGGGTTTCAAATGAGATATTGGCATTTTCTGTTCAGTAATTTTAGGTTTTCAAAAATCCGATAACTCCATGGATAACTTCGGTGTGCGCACTCGCGAGAAACAGGAAGAGGGTGAAGGAGGGTAAACGCATCCCATTGGTTTGTTGGGGATGAACAAATCCCATTGGTTTATTTCCCATCTGATCAATTCCATTACTATTTGAAGACACATGATAACTTGACTACTTTTAGGGTTTAGGGACGTTTTCCCACAATATTTCTTTAAAAAAATGCGTCTGGAAAAAAATCTTTAATCGCATTTTTCAGAGTACTGGCTAAGGAGCACCGCCAGTGAGTGTGTAACGATCATTAAGAGGTTTTGTTGTTGTTGTTAATTCTTGCTGATGTAAAAGGACAATGATGATCCAGGACATTTATTAACATTTAGGGACATTGGTCACCCCGCTCCACTATGGACGAATGGCTTCTAGGAGTTTGTTTTTATTGTATTTCCTGTGTTCGAACTTTTTGATTCTCCGATCTGTTGTAGGCAAATCGACAAGTCCTCTCCGAGACGACTGCTGTTGTGAATTAGGGTTGTACTGAAATTAATGAAATTGAATTAATGCACTGAATTAAGGACAGGAACTAAGGCCAAGAAAATGGTGGCAGATTCCCCCCTTCCTTTGGACTGTTTTTTTTTAGCATCTGGTGATTATTCATGCATGTGGAACTTCTGAACTTCATTGTGGGAACAGTTATTGCATGGTATTAATGTCATGTGTTATCGTCTTTGTGCATTGCCCCTTGGGGATCGAATAAAGTGATACAATCTAGACCAGTATGGAACTCATGCCACAGATCTGACACGTAAGATGTGCTCAATGTCCTGCTGGTCACCTTCTTGTCTTCACAGAGATGGTGATTGTGTTTGTGCTGTATAAATAAACTTGCCTTGCCTAATGCCATTCTAGAGAGAAACATCTGCATACAAACAGAAAGATACACATTTCACAACAGCGACATATTACTGCTTTGATCTTGTGAGGAGAAATCATGTTGGTGCTAAAAGGCCAAGATTGTTTTTTTCAGACTGAACGTGATATAAATAATCCATACTCTGCAGTCTGCAAGTTCAATCAGGAAAACTGCTGAACTGAGAACTTTACATTGTACCTGAATATCTGGTTTCTTCTGTGAAAGGTCACAGAGAGTGGAACAGAAAAGTGGATTCTGCTGTTTAACCAATAAATCCACATGAGTCACTTCAACATAACAATACTGGGCAGAATGGTTATTTACAAAATTGCAATTTCTTTAAAATTGTGCAGCCTGGTTGCGATTCAATTCACAATTTATTTTATGAAGCTAGGATAGTGTTTACTTATTACCCCGCCCTATGTACGGTATATAACTCCGTACTATATATTTATATTTTGAAAGACTGGTATTGAAGCATTTACAGCTAGCTAAGAAACATAGCTACAACTTATTTTGTATATTGTGTGTGATCCCTGTGTGCTCGTACTACTGTCCTGTATGTGCGCTGCAACATTGAAATTTCCCCCTCTGTGGGATGAATAAAGGATCTCTTACCTTATCTTATCTTAAAGTGCACTAGGAAAATTCAAATTGGGTCGAAATGAGAATATGAAGTTGTATTTCTTTATATGACAATATTTTCATTCAATGACAAGCGAATTCTTAACTACTACACTGTGCTTGAAGTTATAAGACTTTCCAATTAGCCTATTTTTTGACATTTGTAGTGATTCTTGAATTTCTAAGATAATTTTTTGTCTCTAATGAATTACAGCCTTTGCAATATATACAGTATGCCGTATAATTGTCTATTTGCAGCCACTAAAATCTCAACCCCAGTGGGCAGTTATGAAATTTGGGAGTGAGAGATACAAATAATATTACCAGAACCGTATGAGCAAACAGTATGTACAAATACATAAGTTGATCTAGATTTCACTATTGCAAACTCCATCATACTAAACATGGATTCTGCCATCTTACTGCCTCATGCCTGTTATGTGGCTGATTGATTGGTGCAGTCTATAGCAATAACATGTCCTCACCTACATCTACAGAGCGACTGACAGGCACAGAGCAGTGACCCATGACTGGAGCTCAGAGTCCAGATACGAGGTGATTTATCATCCACTCACAAGCTCAGAGCCAACAGCCTCTATGGCCCAAGCAAACATGTGGAATCTGCCGTAAAGTATGTGTGAAGACAGGTGATGTGGTGCTGTCACGTTCAGCCAAACTAGGAGTATTCAAATCAAATCCTGGTCTTATTCATGTCAAAATCTGCTGTTTGACTGTTTTGATATAAATGTTTATCAAACATGGCACATTTTCCCGATTCTATAAAGTACCGAATGAGTGTAGAAAAGCATTTTGATGAAGAATAAACCTACTTTTTTTTGATTGACACCAAACAACAGCATATTTCATTCATTGTGTTTCTGTGAGCACTGCTGAGTAAGTAGAAACCAGAAGCATCTGTGCCAAAATATCTCTGTATCACAAATTCATGTAAAAGAATAGAGGAGACTCAAACATGAAAGTATCACCTAAACTTTCATTCAAAAGTTCAACCTAAATAATATTAATGGTATTTTATCAATAGAATGACATTTGAATGAAAGCAGATGCCCGTAAAATATAAACTATATTATACATTTATTGGTGCACAAAACATCTACAGGTTACAATTATAATAACGGTATTACATGAATCACAGTAGATCCAAAATCCTTTGGGGAGCTACTCAATAGGGGTTGGAGCGCTACAGAGAGCAACTGGTTTTAATTTTTTTGTATTAGGAGCTTGAAACAACTCAACACAGGCTTATCACTGCACGCATAATGTGAAAATACTAAGAAAAATATACGTAAAGTATTAAACGTTTCGCAGAATATGTCCCTCGTAAGTCGTAATGTGATATAAAGCACAGCATAGATGACCAATGTTCAGAAAAGACAAAAACTGCATCTTTGTTGCCTCACTCGTCTCACTGCTTTGGGGTCGTCTGATAATGCAAAGGAAAGGGCAGTGTGCTGGTCATGATGAAGAGAAGTTATCTCAGTGAATACTCCAGACGATGAAGCCATGTTTGTCTATGAGCCTGGGTTTGTTTATGCAGACGCTTCTTACCTTCTATGGAGGGAGCTTGGTCCTGGGCAGCATACAGCAGGTCCTTGAACGCCTGAAGGGAAATACAATAATAATAACAGTTAAGAAGCACTGGACCATAATGTTGGGCAGTAGGATGTCAGACCACATGTTTTACTTATTTAATCACACACCCTTTAATAACCATTCCTGACATCTTATAACCTCTTTTACCTACTCATATCCTCTTCCATTTCTCAGCTTTGGATCGCCCACTAGCACACACACTCACACAAACACACACACAAACACACACACGCACATACTTACCCTACCCTAACTTTCCCAGCTGTCCCTTTGTTGTTTATTGTATTGTAATCAGCACTGTATTCTCACTGTTTTTTTTTCTCTTAATGTACATAATATATCCTAATCCTAAGACTATATTTTTAGCCTTTAGCATGTTTGCACAGTTCTGTCTTTTTGCACAAATCTGAGTGATTCTATCCATGCCAAATGTGACATGTACATATCTCCTGTGTGAGATCAATAAAGTCTAACTTATCTTATATTTTATTCCCTGCATTCTTGCCACTTTATGATTGTGAATAATAATAATAAAAAAGAAACACAGGGCCAATTTACAGAAAGCTAATTCATCACATTATCCGAGTGAGCGAGGGCCTGTAAATAACAGCATCAAACATAGTGGTACCAGCAATGTCAGCACCATCTGCTTTTGTAGCACGTAACTAGAATACACAGGAGAGCAATTAACAATGTGTGCTCTCTCCAGATTATGTTACAACAACAGGTATGCCACTGGTTAAACTGGTAATGAGTATTTACTTTGTTTAAAATCAAGTAGAGACATCATGATCATAACTGCTTCTCTCATTGGTTTGGGAGCCTTGAGGATGAGGTTTTGTTAAGGATACCCATTGCCCCGGTGATGCCTTTGATTGGTAATGAGGGAAGGCAGGTCTTCGGGGAAATGTGATAATGCTGCACGCTCGGCAAACACAAGATTAACCCAGTGTCTAAGATGTTGCTGCTGACCTGTGTGCACTATGTAGTAAAACAATATAAGTGTCAAATATGTCAAATTTACAGCAAAGATTACAAGAGCAGTAAATAGAACGCAAGCACTAAATAACATGCTTGATGAGACACTACTGAAGAGTCAAATCAGTCAGTAAGGCAAACTGACTGTTATCTTGTGCTTGAAAGGATCTCACAGAATACATTATTGATCTAAAGGGATCTGTGGCTCTAAATGAAAGCCTATGGTGGATCACTTGAGCTGTGTCTGAGTGGATGAGAGTGTATAGAGCTGAGTGGAGGGGATGGAGACAGGAGGAAGAGAGCGGAGGGCAGGGATGGGACCAGATGTCCTCCTGGTGGGGGAGGAACGCTGCACTGAGGAACAGGAGGACCATGCCAGAATACATACAGGGCTCTCAGTGGAGGCTATGCACGGCCAGTGGTAGACATCAGGTTCATACTGTAGAGCGCACTGCTAATATTCATGCAATTGAGATGTGGTATAGGGCTGTTGAGTCTATACCACATCCGGTCGCTTTGTTGATTAATAGGCTGATAGCATAGTTAACCAAAATATGTATTAGTTGACCAATCTTTTTTATATAAATTATAATAACTTATATATATTAAATAATATAAATAAAATAAAAAATAGAAAGGCATTGGCTGAATATCTGGTAACCCTAACGCCAGCCCAAAACCTTAATTCAGAGTTTTATTAATTGCAAAATAATCCTCAAGTTGCCCTAGTTGTGTCGAGTTAAAGTGGGTTGAAAACATGATTGGAGTCGTTTTTAGACGATCAATCGATCAACCAGGCACGTCTTAAGTTACCCAAGCATTTCTTTGGTCCCTTACAACCCTATTGTGTCATATTGAGATGAAACAAATAGACTTATCAGAGCTGTGCCTACACAAATGAAAGATAATCACAGATATGTTTTAATGTTCACGATTATAAATACATTCAGAAGAAGTTGAACCTCCATTGTAACAGACTGCCGCCTCATGTGCTGTGACCACCTCCCACACACCTGCAATTATCCCTTATACCTGTGCCATACGACAGGAACCTGTTAAACAATATAATCAAGGCGGACACATTTTCACGAGAAACCCCTTTGTTCATGTGAAAGCTACATTATAAATACAATTGATGTGGTTCTCCTCCATCCAGGCTTAATTGATGAAGAAGAACATCCACTTCTCCATATAAAGTAGTTGTTTAGCATACAACCTTATACTGGCATCCCACAGGATTAAAGCGCGCCTCTATCACTCAATCGGCTGCCAATACCGCTTTAGAATAAGGTGGTTCACTAAATCTCGCAATTTCTTTTCCTTTTGACTGAACCGTCTAAATACATATTGATTCAAGAAACAAGCAAAATTGTTAGAATAATGAATATCTTATATTTATGACACAGATCGAATGTGTCTGACAGCACCAAGAAAATATTAAGACTTTATTTTAGCCCTACCCTCTCTTGAGTGTTTATGACAGGCAGATAAACCTGAAAATGTGATAGTATTGGAGGAGAATTGGTCAAATATGTATATATATATAAAAAAAAAACCTGATCAAAACAACGACTATAAAACATATATTTTATATATATCATCCATCTCGAGTCACTGAGGACCAAGCGGTTAGGAGGTGTAAAATGGCTGGTATGGTGGTATGGTCATGCGTCTGTCTGCAAGTCTCACTGTGCAGAGAAGAGGGAGGCGTTGGGATTTTTTCTTTTACCTTTTACCAAAAAAGAACAAATGTGATGTGTAACAACATATCAATAATGAATAAATAAAGTGAAATATTTCCAGACTGAGCAGTTCAGAGGGGTTGTGTTGGTCCTGCAGTGGTGCTGAAGTCTTTGTTTATAATTCATAAAGCTAAATGGAATAGACCAGTCGTCCTGTCAGTAAATGTCTTCTTTAAAGCCCTTGTGTTGAGCCATAAGCGTAGTGTGAAAATAAAATACTTTCAATGTGTGGCTCAGAGTGATCCACTAGAGCATATCCCTTTATAACTAGTTAATACATATATCTTAACACAAACAATTGCTTGTATTTTAAAATGTACAGCATTAAAGAGGCTAAAATCCCAATTAGTGTAAATACAATGATAAAATACATTATCTAAAATACTTAATCAGATAATACAAATACATATCATTCTGTTGGCTTGAAGTATTAAATATGCATACATATTTTTCCCAACCAAATATTTATTTTGCAGAGAACTATTGAATTAATTGGCTAGGCTTTGTTTCGAAACATTATATCTTCACATAGTATGATCATAGAATATGAAAAGTGAAGTTGAATTGTTTGAATGAGTGTGTTTAACTTAGAAAACAGTCATAAAACGTGAACGGTCCCTGTGGCTCTATACCGCAGTCAATCCCTCATAAACAATGGACCATCTCTCCTTTTCTGTTTATAGCTCTCTTGAGTGGCTTCCAGTTCCCTTACTGATAAATATCATGACACAAAGGTCATAGTTTTCTTTGTAGCTCAGTTCATTTTAATAGTATTCACTGTGGACAAAAAACAACTGACCTTATCGCATCACACAATGGCCGTGGTTTCAGTTATAAGAAAAAAACAAATAATGATCACTTTACCTCATATTGAAGGTACTGTTTCCTCCACTCCGGTGTGATATGGGAAGAAAGATGCTCTGCGAACTTCATCTTATCAGAATAAAAAGTCTGAGCTCCGTTAGATCCGTGAGCGGCGGTCCCTTCCCTGTCAATGCGACTTTTAATACCTCAGTGAACTTGCGTGCTCAACATGCGGCTGCAGCGCGCCTCAAACTCCGGCGGTCTTTACTCCACTTCTGGTCTGTCCCAGAGAGCGCACTCGAAGAAGCGTTCATTCCACATAGCCTGGTAGTTTTTACTACAGAGAGCTGCAAGACAAGGTTTGTCTCTCCCACAGGTGTTGTCTCAGTGACTTTGTCCCGTCCCTCTGTGGGCAGGACTGGGGACACTGCGGTCCGCCATCGCCTTGACTCTCTGCGTGGTTGCGTCACAGCAGCGCGCAGAGGCTTCGGGCGTTGTGTTGGGACCTCCCGTGAAATGTGTGAAAGTGAAAGCGTCACCGAATACTCTGATCCAAACCATGCGTCTGTTTGTGTAGGTGCAACTCGTGCAAGAACACTGAGTAAATAGATTTGAAAGTATCAAATACCGATTATGAGAATACAAAGAATTGAACATTTACAAAATGTTGATAAATATTAAGAATTGCAATTCTTCCCCATCACCTTCTGTAATGTGTTTATAATTATAAGCTTAGTACCATATAACTATAATAAAATCCCTTGGCAGTACAGACCAGAATCCCAAATCCACACCATGCTTGCTGAAAACCGAGCGTGCCAGGAGAGAAAAGAAACCTTAGCAGCGCCATCTGGTGGATGATATTTGCTAACAGCAGTTTAAAAAAGCAAACAATTATTAACCCTCATAGTTGGAAAAAAGTGACACCATAATGTAACTAGAGTATTACTCAAAGATAATATTAAACATAATTCAAATGAAAAAACTCCACAGAAAGTGTCTTCAGAACAAGGTACGTTTAGTTATATACAGTCTATGGTTTAAGATAAGATAAGATAAGATAAGATAAACCTTTATTAGTCTCACAGTGGAGAAATTTCAGTGTCATCGTTGCGCACATTACAGCAGAGAAAGGAAATAAGAGCACTCAGATTGCACACATCAAAGTCTATTATTTAAGATAATAGACAATAAATTTAAAGCAGCAGTAAGCGATTTTTGGGTGTTAATATACGTCTTAAATATTGATATATTCCAATAGCCATCACTTATATAGAGTGTTTGTACCTAAACACGGATCTCTCAGTCCTTCCAGTCTTCTCCCACATATTTAATAAAAAAACCTCACATCCTATGCGCTTATCCAATGACGAGAGAGCACGCCTTATAAGGGGTTTCTCCCGTGTGTGCACGCGCACTCTTCAAAACAAACATGGCGGAGAAGGAAAAGCCGCCTCCAGCGCTGCTGCAGACGAAATACAATGGATTTATTAAATACAGGCAAAACGCCAGAAACAGAGGAACGACAAAAAGTAGGAGCAACATGGTGACCAGCTGCATTCATGTTGGCGACCTCTAGCTCCGTGGATTCCTCTCTCCGACTGAACAGGTGAGCATGTTACTCAGTAGTGGCAGTAGTAGTTGTATTATTTATACATATTGTTGCCTGAGACTGTAATGCGGGCTTTCACCAAGTTAGCTAGTTAAAAATCCCCAGCTGTTGTAGAAATACGGCCGCATTTTGTGGCAATAACTGCGCATTACCTTGGCTTAGCTTTGAGAAACAACAACAGACAACACAACATCGAAGCCTCAGCCCAGCCTCAGTCATCCATAAACTCCGGTCAATTATTAGTTCCCCACATGTACAACATTAAATGACCATATCACCAGAGTTCCCCCGTGAAGTGGTGTTAGCATTAGCGTTCGCTGTTAGCATTAGCGTTCGCTGTTAGCATTAGCGTTAGCTGTTAGCATTAGCGTTAGCTGTTAGCATTAGCGTTAGCTGTTAGCATTAGCGTTAGCTGTTAGCATTCGCTGTTAGCATTAGCGTTAGCTGTTAGCATTAGCTGTCTGTAGTGAATATGATGTGGCTGCTACGAACACTTCTGATCTGTATGAATCGTTTGTTTTTGCCAATAAACATAGGTGTGTGTGTGTGTGTGTGTGTGTGTGTGTGTGTGTGTGTGTGTGTGTGTGTGTGTGTGTGTGTGTGTGTGTGTGTGTGTGTGTGTGTGTGTGTGTGTGTGTGTGTGTGTGTGTGTTTTTGCTACATCGTGGGGACCTCAACCTGACTGCACACAGACTAGTGGGGACCTGTGTCCCCGTGGGGACCAAAAATGAGGTCCCCACGGGCAAAGCACCATTACAGGCTTCACAACACCCTCTAATGGTGCCTGGAGGTATTTTCTAACAAGTCCCCTTTGGGCCCATTTTCATGACAAAATGTCAGGTGTGTATATTTCCCTGCGCCCCTGGAGGTCACACACATTATTGCAGTCCTCACCAGGTTAGGTGTTCTTGTTGTGTGTGTGGACTCAGTATCGGCCCCTAAAGGTCAATATAAGTATTGCAGTCCCCACCAAGTTTTGTTGTTTTTGTTGCGTGTGTTCACTCTACAGGCACTTTGTTTCACCAAAAATACACAGGATTTAATTATAACATCTATGATAAGAATGATTATTATAACAATGATGATGATGTTACTAAACATAATTATAATGATAATAAAACTTTTGAACCCCCAATTTTCAGCATATTTTATAATAATTACAAAATTAAACAAATCAACAATGAAAACTAGCATTTTAAAAGCAATATTCGACATATTGACATATTCTTTAACCGATGAATATAGAAGTACACTGAATTATTATGGAGCAATTGTGTCGCTATATAATTGGAAAACTTAAATGTACTAATGTCAGTAGTCCAGCAATATTAATTGCACTATCAAGAGTCCACAATTTCAATAAACATATGCATCTATATGAAACAATGTAGGTTCTGTTGTATTTATAACTAAGAGACATTCTAAAACCATGTGTTTTAGAATGTCTATCGACCTCTGAGTGGCAGGCCAGTCCTTTTAAGTTAATTTTAGGGGTCTTCTTGGACCTGCTAAATGACAGATGGGTTCTTCTGTTTGGATTTTGGCTGACTGTTGCATTATTAAACCCACTCCATCAGGAGTGGGATGACACTGGAGCCTGCTAGTCTACCACTTGTTTAGACCACAGAGATGGATCTCAGACTAAGAGACAGCTGGACCAGAGACGTTAGGCTAGAGAGGCAATGGATTCTTTTTCAGATGCAGACGGGAGAAGACAGATGGAGGGAGGCGGACCACGGGACCCCGGAAGCTGGCTGATACCACGCCCCTTCTTCCTGCACATTTTACTTAAGGAAATAGCTTGAATGTGTTAGTTAGAGTTTTTTAGACTGGATCAGGGACAGCAGTGTGAGTTTGCGTGGAGCGCCCACCAAAATCATACTTTATACTTTATATAGGGAATAAGGGATAGTTAAAGTTGGTCCAGGTCGTTGTGTTAGATTCTTTTTGTATTAGGGAAATAAACCTTTTTGAATTTAACTTTCTGAATCATGGTCATCTTTATAAGGGATTTTGAACACGTCATTTTTTAATATAATAATTGGTGACCCTCGACGTGATCCCTTTTGATGACTTTCAACCTATCCCTGGACTCTACATCTCTCCTCAAAGCGGCCGCTGATTTGAAGGTAAGCAGATACCTTTTGACTAATTAAAAATCTGCATATTGGACTACACAAATTAAGGGGAGAGGAGTTTTGTCCACGGAGGAGCTAATTCAAAAAGTAAAAATAGTAAAAGCCTAAAAAGTAGTGAGAGCCTTGCGAAAATACGTTAAAATTAAATAAAATAGGAGTCTAAGTAGCTAGAACCCTGCGAGAATACATTAAAAGTAAAGATTTTTTGAGAAGCCTTGCCAGAAACAGGAAAGCCCGCTGTGACTAGAGTGGTTGACGGACGCGTCAACACACAAGTTAGGTTTACACCATTGGAACCTGGGGGAATTTTGGGCCCCCCCGAAAAATGGAGACAGGCATTCCAATCGAGCAGCTATATAGAGAAATAGAGGCTCAGATTCTGAGTGGTCTGGATAAAAAATATAGGAACAAGGCAAAACGAAAGGCTGTGAAAACATGGCAAAAAATACAGAACAAAAGGGTCATACCTGAGTATATGACAGCGTCCGCATTAGCTAGGATATTGCGGGAAGAGGAAAATAATCTAAAACAGGATTTAAAAGAGCTTGAGGGAAAGCAGGGAAAGAGTTGGAATGAGTGTAGGCAAATTAAAAAGAAACTAAAAAAGGCTGAGAAACTGAGGACCAAGGTACATAACTTTGCTTTGGCTGCCACGGCGTTGGCAAAGTTACCAATGGTAAGTAAAGACAAGGAAACAGAAAACGGAGCAATGCCGGTGAGTAATATATACCCATCCCTACCCACGGCTCCACCAAAATATTCTCTAGGTTTAGAACCAGGTAAGCCAAATCTAATATTGCCACAATATACATTTTCAGGAGAAGTGGCGGTAGGAAAGAGAGGGGACAATGACTTTGTAGACAGTGAATTTGGCGAAGGGACAGAGGAGGGGTCTGTGGGGGACAGTGGAGATCCGAGTCAAAATCCAGCTGTCAGCCTCCCGCCACAGCTCCCACACACCCCTCACCAACCCCCACCCATTCAAGAGGTGCAGGAGCTTCTCCTGCACTCTCTCAGAAATATTAGAGCTAGGAAACCGACCTCTGAATGCACCACAGACAGAGTTGAGGGAGAAGAAACCCCAAGTAGGACCCATGATTACGAGACCGCTAGACAGGAGAATGCAAAATTAATTAATAAAGCCGCACGCAGAGCCATGACTAGGACGGACAGTGAGAGTGACAAGGGAGACGGTAAAGCTAAACAGGCTAAAAAAGGAGCTAAATTCTCTTCTGACGATAGTAGTGATGACGGAGACCAGGAGCCTGGAGAAACTAGACCGGTGGCAAGCAGAACCAGGTCTCAGACAAAATCCATGTTCCCTCTGAGACCAGGACGAGGCGCAGCTGGGGAGTACCATCCTTTTTCTGTAAGTGACATGCAGACTATAAAAGACAAAATGCCTCCATTGTGTCAAGGAGCTGGAAACTGGATTTCCAGTCTCAACACATGGTTTACAGGTCATGATGTGGCGATGGGTGACGTCCGGGCAGTGATGGCAGCATGCAGTAAACCATGGGAGAGAGACGCTATTGAAAGACAAGCTGGTACTGCTGATGTTTGTGATTCTTCCAGATTTGGCCAGTATGCAAATGCCTGGTATGAAGCACTGAGGGAGAACTTTCCAACTCCGCTGTCTTCTGCCCCTCGTGAGTTAACTTGGCTGGAGTCTGAGGACCCAATTGTGTTTTATGACAGGAGTGTGACCAAGTGGATGGACACAGTAGGAAGACACCCTCACAAGGTCAGTGAAGTCATGCCGTTTAGAACAGCTATTTTGAATGGTTTACCAGAAACAATACGCTCAAAGATTGAAGACAACCCAGA